TTGTGGCATTTACGCCAGTAAAATCCTTTTGCTTTTAAAAGCAGCCTCAACGATTCTTTACCAAATGGAAATTCCATTTCTTCCTTCAGTTTGATTAGAAGTTTACTACAAGTAGGTACCACTTTAAAATCACAGTAAAATTTTTCTATCATTCTCCGAATAATGGAAAAATCGACTCCATCAATTTTTTGGATCACAGAAGGGCGTGATCTCTTTTTTCCGGGAGAAGCTAAAGGCTGTGTGGAGGTTGCATTTTGCCTGTCTTTATCTTCTTTTCTAATTTTACTTATAGTTCGTTCACTAACACCCGTATAATATGCCGCCCTTGCATTTCTAGCTACCAGTGGATAAACGAAAGTATTGTTAGCCGCTTCTGCATCGCAAGCACGTATCACGTTTGCTATTATTTCCCTTGCCTGGCTGTGAATAACTTTCCCATGCTTGAATTCCATTATCACCACTAAACAGTAAATTATATTTTCAAAGTATTTGCCAACTGCCTACGCCTATGGGAGTAGGTTTATAAATGACCGTGCCATCGGCACGTTATTCTAGTTTCAGATAAGATAAGAGTTTTGGACCAATCAGCGACCGGATGTTTACCTGCGGCCTGGGTTTTCCAGCTACATTGCCAAATTCAGCGGAACAATTCTATATCTTAAATATGTTAATATGTATGGACCGCATTTTATGTAGAACATCTGACAACTTCGCAATTTTTTGTCCGCATTCTTTCGGCTTGCAATCTTTCGCTGGTCCAACAGTACAATGTGCATACTGGACGCTCTTTTAAAGTTGCAACCATTCTGGTAACTGCTTTTTCGATTCTTGCTTATAGGATTGTGAATATTTTTCTGTTTTAGCCCTGAACTCATGAACTCACCTCACAAATTAAATATTTATTTTGAAAACACGACAGGTTTCGGTTTCTTTATTGCTTGTCCGGTGATGCGGTAATGACGGTAATCTACCAGTCTGAGTAAGGGATGAGGATGAGCGTTCGTAATCATACGCATCCCAAATCTACGCCTCTCATGTGCTCGACTGCCTGAGTGTGTATGCATATATGTATGATTGATATGGGGCATAAAACTACGAAGACTACATAAAATCAACTTTTAGCTTTATTTTTGGTTCCAGCTCTTTTTCGGCAAATTTGGAAATATTTGAATTATTTTGAAAAATCGTGGAAAATACCGAAATATGAATTTATATTCTAGATTCTACGCATATCCATTCATATTCGTCAATATTTCATTTGAAGCTTCTATTTTTCATAAGATTTTTGCAAAATGTAAAATAGTAAAGACACCACCGCACCCCAGTTGACAAGCTATCAAGATTAGGGATGTTTCGATCCAAGAAAAGTATCGATATGTATCGATTCTTTTCGTTTTAGGAAGTATCGATAGTCTAAAATATAGGAATAAAATTATCGATACAGAACATACACTAACACCAGCAAAAAGTTGCTTTTTCTACAACCCTCAAATAGTTGCTTACGAACTGGCGATTTTCTGACCTAAGTTAAAGTTAGCTTCTGACCTGAGCTAAGTTGTTGATCGCAAGCACGATTTCAAGAGGAACGTACGATACCTGTCAACTGCCAAAGAGCGAATAATAAGATAATAATCAGTTATTTATATGTTTTGTGGTGTATTAGACGTTGCTGGTTTGTGGTTGTAGTTTTTATTTTGTTTTAAATTCTAGTTTTAAAAAATAGTTGTTGTAACTGCTCATTTGCTGTTTGGGCTTGTAACTGTAACAATAAAACTGTTGTTTACTTATTCGTCATTTTGAATAAATGATCACTTCCATCCACAGACTCTGATAAAGTGATATCATTATGAATGATAAACTTTAATTCTTATTCCACCATAATTAATAACTAAATAGAGACTATGGTAGATTATTTACAAACATATAAGATGCCTAACCTCAATTATGAACATCAAACATTCAAAAACGTCGTGTTTGGTGCCAACTTACACCAGCTAAGACATCTCTGACGAAAATCCGGTTGTCTTAACAACGGGAACGGGGGAGCTAAGATTCTAACTAAGTTGTGTCAAGTCGTAAGCGTCGCTCAGTTACTTTTATTTAGGAGAGGTCAGAATGTGTGCTGTTCATAAGCAACTATGTTGACTATACCCTATTTCACGAGTATCCATCACGGTAGAATGACAGCTGATAATCCCGTAATATCTCAAAATTCCCGATATCGGCACAGGACACAATTCTGACGGATCCGTCAACGTCAGGTAGTCAGTGCCGTATTTTGTTTTGATTTTTTGTATGCTACAGATTCATCTTGTACATGCTAACAGCTCTTTTATTTAGAAAAATTCCATTTATATTTTTTGCCATAGGTTTACAATTTTTATGTATTCTTGGACATTAAAATATTTTTTTGAGCATCCTATTTTTCGTATGTCGATAAATACCCCAAAAGGTATTTGTTTCCAATTGAAAGAGAAATACATATATAACAAGTACATTATGTAATGTCATTAATGAAATTTTACATAATACCTAACCAGTAAAATATGTTTCCTCAAAATCTTCCCCTAATGTGGCAACCCTGGAATCCAAAATAAATTATGCGAGGTCGTGAAGTGAGTAGCACCAGCGGAAGGAAACAAAGAAGAAACGTAATCTGAAGTTAGTCACTCTTTCTGACACAGTCTAGATAGAAAGATAACGATACTCGTGAAATGTATCGATACACCAAAGCGTCGTATATAAAAACATCGATCCAAAATATCGGGTATCGGAAGCAAAAGTATCGATACTCCTAAATATCGGATCATATCGAACATCCCTTCTCTCAAGATGTAGAACCCGAAGTATGCTCATATATAGCACAGTAGAGAATATTTCAACAGTTGGCAATGTTTGCCTCACTGGGACCAAGTGTTGATGGATCCCACAGAATTATGTGTCACTGTCGATATGGGGAGTTTTAAAATATCAGGGGATAATCAGCTGTTATTCAAATAATGTCTTATATTACCTAGAATGTGTACTCCCTGAAAAAAAGAAAATTATTGCAAATTCTAGTTTTTTGCAGGTTTTAGGTTTGCTGGTGGTTCTATCACAAATATTTGGGTATTTCTTAATCACTGTAAATATAGTGTGGATGTATGTTCACTTCCTGAAAATATTTAACTTCATGGATGTATGGATATCAAAAATCCTGAATGGTTTTGTGCAAATATCAATCTAAGGTGCCATAATGACACTGATGAACGGCAAGTAAATGGATAAATGTTTGGAAACGAGCAATATGTATGAAATCTATGGTAGAGTCTTTGTCATCAAGTAGGGTAGGTGTTCAATGGCTATGTGCAAGAGGGTCATAGGAAAAAAACACACGGTAGGTGATACTAAATAGGTAACATCTCATATCAATTGAAGAAAATAATATAAACATGAATAAACAATCAATAATACTAAAAACAAAAGTCAATTTTATTCAAATATCAAACATTTCTCTAAATTTTCACTGAATTATATGTAATTTCTTAATATTCGATAAGCTGGTGATGTTTCAATGACAAGCTGTCATCTCATACTTTGACAATGTTTTGTTTTCAATATTTCATAGCTAAAATTTGTTGATTGCATCTTGAAACTCATTCGCTATATTTGACGGACTGTTACCCTATAGATGAAGAATAACTGTCTGTTAATTTGACAATCCTAGTGAGATTCACCCGTAGGTTATTATATTTTGATATACTCACTAACATATTGAGAAGCAACATACAGACTGATAAAAATGAGTGACAAGGTTCAGGGAAAAGAAAAAAAAAACATATTCTTAACTCTAACATGTTCACGCTAATTCCCTCCAAAATCAATACTATCTTCACCCTTATTAATGAGTCAGAAATCCTAAAGCTTATGGACGAGAGAATTATTGGATGTAATATTTTTGTAAATACAACTAATCATCATTTCAGGTTCCTCAAAATCCCCAGAGAAACGCTTTTGATCGTGCTTTTATTGAATGTCTGGCATAAGGTACTTATACATAATACAATGCACAATGTCAACAAAGACAACGTAAACAGAGAAATTCCAATCGACCCCAGGATGCGTAAGTCAGAAACGTTATTAGGACTGTTTATGTAGGTTATAAAGAATGAATGAAATATGAATAATATAAGCTATAGGAATGACTCATAATGTGCCTCGAGCAAGCCACCCTCTATCCATATCCACCCGTACCCATAAGCTATATCGAGAGAGAAATTTTCGGGTCAAAATACAGGCACCACGCATGAATAAGTTCCCAGGAGTTTACAGTATTTTGAGTTAAAAACTAGAACTGAAATAGAGAGTCGTATCAAGTAACACCTGAGGTTTTGTTTATCTTAAATGGCATTATATGTGTCCTGATTGACAAATGAATGAAGAGGCTAAATGGTCGGGATGTCGGTTATAATTCGAATAAAGATACACCTGCGGGCGATTGAAAACTGGTACCTGAATGTTTAGTCAGTTGGTCACTGGTTGGTGATACGTACCTGTTTTGCTTCTTGCATTTTATCATTATCCTGTCCCCAATCGGCGATTATTGTCAATATGGGCTTATAAGGAACATAAAAAATACCATGAACTTACGGTGTTGATTGATATTTACCTTTCTTCTGATAATATTTATGCAATCAAAGTAGAACTTACCCAAAGTTCGGTGCCCCAGTTCATGTTTTCGTTGTTGGTAGTCATAAATCCGCGTAATTCGGTGGTCACATAAAAATACAAAGACACAACACTACCTCGGCAAACTATAGAAATATAATTTTCACTTCTTTACACTAACCACCAACACCTACACTATTTCACTACCCAACATGGCTGTTTGGATCACAAAAGTTTCGATACTGTCAGTAGTGTCAGTTCAGTATGCATGTCTCACTTCTCCACATCATTCGCTTCAAGCGTTTATTGGCTGAGAGAGAGAGAAAGAGAGAAAAAGAGAGCAGTGCCATGTTGCGAGATGTAACTTCATAGAAGCTCTGTTTAATTAGAATGAGAATATAATTGGTGTTGTTTTGGAGTTGCAAAATTGAATTAAGTAATGCTTTTGACATCGGTAATTCTAGTCATCTATTAGATTTTCTCGTACATTGGCCCTTTATGACTGAAATACTTTAAATAAAACAGGTCGCGAACTGACCCCTGCAGCTGGCGAGTGTCATTAGTCGCAACGTAATGTTGTCGGATGTTCTGTAAAGGTGAGTGTCCACAAGGAGACTGAAATCTCTTGAGATTTTTGTCTTATGAGGAGTTTATTTCAGATATGGTTCCACAGAATATGAGATATTTCTCTGAAATACTTGAGTTTATGCGACTCGAGAGTTTACTCTCACACGAGACAAGGTGTCTCTGACAGCACTGTTTCCACAGTTAATAATCTGTAACTTAAACATCCAAAGATTGGTTCTTTCATTGTTAAATTATTGTATGTTGTGAAGTGATTTTCAAGATGGTAACTAAAAAGGATAAAAGAAAAGCTGCCGCTTGTTATTATTACTTAACCGTTAAGTCCCGTCGTAGAAATAGGAGGACTCATAGATATTGGGTGAGAGATTGGATTAAAAGAAGGTCAAATAAGACTATAATGGAAACATTACTGGAAGAACGGGAAGATCCGGAATGTTACAAAAACTTTCTTCGAATGTCCGCCGCTGATTTTAAATATTTGTTGGATAAAATAAAATTTGCAATAGAAAAACAAAACACACATATGCGAAATGCGATTCCAGCAGCTGAAAGGTTAGCTATTACTCTTCGTTTCTTAGCTACAGGTAAGTACATTGTAATTCCTTTGCTTCCAGTATGAAGAAACAAACATTTTTTAGGAGACAGCTACCACTCGCTGATGTATTTATTTCGCATACCTGTGTGTACTATTTCACGAATTGTACCAGAAGTGTGCGCTGCAATTTACAACGTGCTGAAAGAAGAATATCTACAAGTAAGTCTGTGAAGCTTTGTTTTATTAAACCATTACTTTACATTTTGAAGTAATTAGATGTACATGACTCGTAATATTGGGAAAGAGTTAAATCATCACCATCATTATTTGGAATTTCATTATTGAGCGGTGTCTGTTCTATGGACTGATTTATGATTATCTGTTTATTTATGGGTTGCTGTTGTGATGTTACTGTATTTTGCTGTAATTGGAGCTCATAGTCATCGTTCATTTTCAAGATAATACGCTGAATTTCTCGCTTCGCCCAGGACTGCAGCTTTGGAGCTTTCGAACTCATAACCCGCAGTTCGTCAGCCACATAATCCCCAAAGACTTCAAAGGAGTCTGCTGAGTGTGATAGAACATTGATGCATTTGTCAAGTACAACTTGTTCCTCTTGGTCTTTCTTTTTGTTTAATTTTGGTTGTACCGAGGAAGATCTTGATGAACTCGATGTGACATCATGTGATGTTTGAAGCGGCGTATTAGAACGTGATGTGCTTGGAGTTTGTGAATTGTTTCCTTCAGTTATAACACCTTGAATATGAGATTCGCTACTCTCAGAATTTTCGTCTAGATCATCTCTTAGGACAGTAGGTGGTTCGTTAGTCTAAAAGCAAATAATATCCAAGCTAATATGCATAATAATTAACCATAGTTATTAAACAAGGAAATATACATAAATTTTGTTACAGATGCCTTGCACCGAGGAAGAATGGCTGCAAAAGTCCCAACAGTTCGCAGAAAAGTATAATTTCCCACATTGTATCGGCGCACTGGATGGCAAACACGTTCTTATTAAAGCACCTAAGCAACGTGGAAGCTTGTACCACAATTACAAAGGCACCCACAGTGTTGTACTTATGGCACTGGCTGACGCAGAATATAAATTTCAATACATTAATGTCGGTTGTTTTGGACGAATTTCTGATGGGGGTGTTTTTAATGCGTGCTCTCTATCAAATAAACTGGCTGATAACAGTTTAGGTATTCCAACACCTAGACCACTACCAGGTAGAACTAAACCAGTTCCCTTTGACCCTTTGTCATAGTAGCAGACGACGCTTTTGCCATGAAGTCTTACATTATGAAACCATATGCATTTAGAAATCTGCATGGTGAACAAAGAATATTTAACTACCGACTATCACGGGCACGCCGAATAATTGAGAATGCTTTTGGTTTAGCTTCTGCTAGATTTCGCATTTTAAGAAGACCGATTGAACTAGGAGTAGAAAAATTTATCCATGTTGTTTCTGCAATATGTGTGCTACATAATTTCTTAATGACACGGTCTAAACGACTTTACGCTCCTTATGGTAGTTTTGATGTGGAAAATCACGAAACTGGCACTATAGAACCAGGAGAATGGAGACAATCAACTCAAGGCCTGGTGGATCTGCATGTTAACCCACATCTTCGGGGAAATTTGGAAGCGAAAGATGTACAACGGGAATTTACAGAATATTTTCACCAGGAAGGAGAAGTTTCATGGCAATATAAATATATTTAGAATATTTATTATTAAACTTACCAATGAATCAGGTATTGTTCTTTCATTAATATTGGTTGGACCGTCTATGAATTTTAAGGCATCATAAAATTCCCATTTAACCTCAAAATTGTCTCCCGCTGCCTGGCCACTTTTGGTATTTTTGCGTTTTCTGTTTATGGTTTGAAATTGACAACGTAGGTTATGTATTTTTTCCTTAACGTCTTGAGCCGAAACTCCCAACTTGCTTGCAATTTCATCCATTTCGGTTTTTGTACCTATTTTTATATCACGACACAATAGTTTCACTCACGTGCAGCATGTGTAATAAATATTTCATGCGAAATTAGCAATGTATCGTCTGTAACGTTGAGACTTGTTTATGAAATTAAAGTCTCATGACACATTCTCTCACGAGATTATCTCTAGTATATCACGTGTCTCAGGTCTGTTTCCACAATGAAAATAAATGTTTCTTGATTTTTTTGTTTCATGAGACACAAATCTCATGAAATATTCTCATTGTGGATTCGCACCTTAACAGTGTAGCGTAGAGGCAAGATTTCTAGACTAATTGTATGAGCATATTTGAGTTACTTGATCCATTCAATTCCATTGCTATACATATAATACATGTTTTCTAAGATATGTGCCGAACATATTTTTTTATGGAATGATGACAACGTTGCGTGGATGTGAATACCATTTTTTAATTCCACAACGCCAATATCCATTTTCCCTTTAACTTTTGCGCTTTCAAAATCTCTATGCGATCAACTGAAAATAAAAAAATATATAGTTCTTATACTTTCTCGTATAACCCTTAAACCTATCGATGATACCACCTCAAATAATAATTTTAAGAAAATTATGAAAACTCTGTAAAAAAGTAAAAAACACATAAAAGAGTAAATGATTTTTTTCCTTTACAATTTTCAAGAAACATTTATTTGGGAAAATTACAAAAATGTTATATAAAGTTCCCGTTTTCCATCACCTAACCTAAGCAGTCAATGCTCCCCTTCTTTTACTTTTTACTCTTACTTAATTGTGTCTATTATGACTCTTAAGCCATGTACAGATATGTAACAACACCGCGAACCGAACCACGCGACGAACCGCGCCGCGCTAGTGTAGACGGTGAAAAGAACGCCGTCGCGAACCTGATTAGCGTTACAGCTCGCCCAATCAAGGCTCTGTCGGTTTTTGAGCGCAACATCAAAGAAATGGCTCGCGACGAAGTTACACATGTTTGGACAGACATACCGGTGCGGCGAGCACCAATGTACAAGTACTTAGAAGTAGAAGAATTATTTTTCTTACTTGCATATTTTCCTTTAAAACTTCGATCAGTGCCTCACAAACTTCTGGCATGATGTAGCTGATCGATTGCTTTGAAATTCGAAACATGTATTGCAAACTACTATATGAATCACCGGTCGCTAAAAATCGCACCGTGACTGCAAGATTTTCTTGCACTGTAATGGCAGCTGCCCATTTTGTATCTCGTTTTCGTATTTTTGGTCCAATCAACGTGAGAAGATATTCAGAATCAAAATTGTTGCAACCGTGTACTGATCTATTGCAGCTTGTTTTTGGATAATTAGTAATGGATATCACATCAAAATTGTATCGTCATTTTGTTGCGCGATGTCGTTGCACGACTTCGTTTGACTCGTAGAGATGTTTGTTGCGATGTTGTTCGTCAAAATGCGCGCGCTGCGGTTCGTCGCGTGGTTCGGTTCACCATGTTGTTACATATCTGTACATGGCTTAAAGGCTGCTACACACAGTGCCAGCGGCAGGGCCGCCGGGCAAGCCGCCGGCATTGCCGCCGGGGTGTGCCGGCGGGTTACGCGGCTTGCCGGCGTCACTTCGTTCCTGGCATTCGAGAGGTAGTGTTGTGCGGTTTGTGTGTTTAAACAAATTAAAATGTCGTTTAATTGGGACGACGAAGCTGTGCTGCTCTTAATTGAAAAATTTCATGAAAATGATATATTATGGAATCCCAGAAATGCAGACTATAAGAATAGGAACAATCGAATGGACGCATTGAACATAATTGCAAGTGTATTTGACATTGATAAAGGCGAAGTAGAGAGAAAGTTAAAAAATGTAACCTCGTATCATTTTCAGGAAAAAAAGAAGTTCGAACAGTTGCACAAATCTGGTGCAGGCATAGACGATGTACAAAAACCCAAAAAACATGCTATTGCGCAAACGCTGACACCCCCACATCATCTTTTTTATACTCTTCTATCATTACAGTACCGTTTCGCCATTTTCTATTTTGTAAACTTGGGTGCAACCAAAACCTTCTCGTCCTTTTGTATTTCTTTCTTATTAAAATAAAAATTACAACTGCGGCGGCTGTGCTGATGATTTCCTTATTCATTTTAACCAACCAACCATAAAATCTGCACTTCACTAGCGTTCTATGTGACTGTCACAACCGGAATGATGCTTGGCGGCTTTGCGCGGCTTGTGCCGGCGGCTTTTATTGCCGACGGCATAAACCCGGCGGCATTGCCGCCGGCTTGTGTGTAGTAGCTTTAACAGACTATGGGCGCCAGCAAGAGGAGCGAGGGCGATCATCAACAATGGTATAGCTGTAGTCCCAGTTCTTGACGGGTCAAAAATCAAATCAAGCGAATAACCAAATGAAAATGGTATTTACCATTTTGGATTGGTATTTACCGATTCGTTCAAGCGAGTGTGGTTATCAGTTTGGTTATAAGATCCGTGATGTCATCAATCAGCTGTTATATGTCATAGTTATCACCGTGAAATTGTGGTATTTACCCAACTCCTGAGTAGTTTTATATTTCTGGTTATTATTTGAAATGCGACAAGTTAGAATTTTGGCGGGTGTTGGATATTTTTGTTGTACTTCAGCTTCATTTTTGAGAAACTTGATACAGGCTGACTTCAGTTGTAGCATAAAGTAGAGCAGCTTATTAGATATACTCATTACTGTTGTTGGAGACACTTTAAATCTAGTTCCTATGCTTAACAAGGTATCATGCGTAGCCATATACCACAAGAATATTAAAATATGGCCATATAAACTCACTGGATAATGTCCACCTGTGTACGGTTTTGCACATATCTTTTTCCTATCATTTCTGCTAAATCAATAAAAGCAGGTTTTCTTTAACATGCGGAAAAGTTTAGAGAATAGAAGGTTATCATAGCTACAAAGCCATGGTTCCACTATTAAAAAATTTTGTTTCCGAAAAAAAAACTCCCTCCCATTAATATTATGAAAGACGGACAGGTCGACCAACGAAAATAGGGGACATGTTTCTCGTGTATGTCATATGACACACATTAATATAGACAGAGATGACCAACACACAGACCGACGGAAATTAGTGACATGGTTTTTGGTAAATGTACATCGAAATAAGACAGCACAAAGTGCCATCTATCATAAGAATCGACCACTGAGCAAGTGAAAACATCATGCCAGTACGCATTAGCGGTCGGGTAACCATTGTGACCTTTCGATGCCGTCGATTCTGGCGGTATATTAGGAGGAACGTGATGAGAAAACCACTTGACGTGCTGGGGGAAGAAGGCAGTTGAGAGTCCCGAAATATACACATCATATGTATAACGCACTGTATCACAGAATATGAAAAATAAAACTATTGTTTTGTTTAGGCTCGAACACTTGAGAAAACGTTCCTCCCAATTAACATATCATATCATCCCATGTCATACCCATTTCCGTTAGTCTGTCTGTCCGGATTTTGATGATATTTGGACACAATGTTAATATTATGCCAAGGACGAAAAAGCTTTTGCAATTTTGAAAATCGAACCCTACTGGCGGTGGAGCTACGGGCAAAAACGAAAAACTAAAATCGCTCAAACTACGTTTTTTGAGATTTAGAGACTCCTGCTTAGTTTTGACATTTCTTCTGGGAAGAGGGGTTGTAGGTGTGGGGAGGATGCATCTCAATTCTCTGGCATTAGTATATATTGATACAACCTATGAGACACATTTCACACAGAGCGCAACAAAAATAGAAGAACAGTGTTGTGAGTTGGCCGCTGCGCTGGTGAGGTTTAGTCATCACAACTGTGAGCGCAATTAGTCGGATAATCGCTCGGGCAGACGAGACATTTTGAGCTCGAAGAGATGTCAAATGTGTGGGTGGCTGGGGACTAATTTTATATTCCTAATTGACTGACATGCACTTAATTTCTTTATTATGCATACTCTCAGTTAATTTTTAAAAGTGTTCATTTATGCATGCGATTTATATTGCTTGATATCGTCGCCCGACAATGAAGTTATAAAGAGAAATCTATATGTCAAATATAGTTTAGTCTAGTCATATTGCGCTGATGCGATTCACAAATTGCGTGCACAAAAGTAGGCGCTGAGAGGGGCTAACTTGTGCCAAAGATAACCTTATATAAACTGATGACAGCGTTGCACGGGAAAGTGCAGAGTCAACCTACTTGGTGCCATTTTGTATTGAGCTACTTGCAGCAATTATCCAAATTCTTAGTGGAGTTGTGTAATCTAATAACACATCGTGGATCGAGCAGGCGATAAATCAGGTTCTATTCGACCTTAATAATGTATGTCTTAATTATAAATGACCATATTTAAAAAAAAAACAGGACGTCACCCTGAATATTTGAGATGCAGTGGTTTTTCGAAAATCGTCAAAGCACAACATAATGTTATAGTCTAATTTGTTATACATTAACGACCCTCTCTTCTGTACAATAAATCATATCCACAGTTTTCAGAATATCAGCACTTTTTGCAAACACATTCAAAGAGCCCACACATTGTTCTTGAAATTCCATTTGATTTTCGGGGATTCGGGGTCCCCCATCAATAGACGGGTAAAACTATTGTCATCGAGGGTATTTAGGATTATCCCGAATAAGTATGAAAGTATAACATTTTTTTAATTTCTGATAATCAAAGGTTTCAGATTGCACTACAATGGAATAGTCCAAAGAATCGCCTCTTGGACATTACTTACATATTCAGGAAACATTCTGCTTTATTCAAGACAGCAAAAT